CATGGAGGTTATTAATTTAACCTGTTAGACCCCAAGCCTGTTTTTCAGGTTTCAGGCTCGAAAATGACATGCCCAAAACAAATGACTATAACTTCACTTCTAAAAGGGTTAAATTAATAATCTTTTTTCTCAAAGCAAGGCTACATCTGTGAGATGGATGTAGAAGTGTCAGAATCAATATAGATGTTTCTGTGTCAGAGTGAATTCAGATGGAACATAGTAAAAAAGTGTAAATTCTTACCTCCGCCTAAAAACCATTACTTATAGTGAAAGCCACCCTTGAATGATGGGATAGTAGACTAAAAGCTTTAGGAAACCAAAGTATAACATATAATAAGTACCCTGTATCAAGATTGATGCAAAACAAGTGAAAATTGACCTTTTTAGAGATATTTAGGGGAAAAAGTCCAGGCGGACTAAGCTTTGGGCACATTTGGGCACATCTGGTTCCATCAGTGCCATTTGACCTTTTTCAGGTACCAGACTGTACAAATCATTTTATAACATTGAATCATCACTATAGTTATTCATTCCATCAAAAAAAAATAAAAAAAATAATTGTAAAATGTAACCTGCTAATTATTGTCATGGATTTGAAAACTGATGTTGTTTATTTGCTATGTTCTGGCTGCTAGCTCAGTGAGTTCTGGCCGTGCAGTGATGGGGTGTATACCCATGGAATCTGTGGAATCTCAGCTTTCAGATGATGTGTTGTTTGTGCAGAAAGTATGAATTATAAATGATCATTTTTGAGTTATGAGCAGAAATAGCATTAGTCCGTATTTGCTAAGGGCTCATTGAAAGGCTTCTTGTGGGAATTATTATTATTATTTATTTTTTATTTTTTGTATAGTCAGTTAGCTGAGTTTCTTCCCGTCAGCTGGGTGTGGAACATTAATAGTTTCATAAATGACACTTCAGAGATCACACTGGTGCTAGCAGACGTAGCATTTTCGGTCCCTTCGGCGGGTCCGTGGGGTTTAACAGGTTGAAACATGATATAGTAATGTATAAAAATGACCTGCTAACAGATAAGGAGCCCGTATCTCCAGCTGGAAGTTGAACTGGTAATCCATGGAGTTGATCGCCTCCTCCTCCAGCAGCGAGGCCAGGCAGAGAGGGGGGGGTCCGGACTGATCGGGAGGGCTGGAGGCACAGCTGGACCGCTCCCTCCTGAGAGACAAATATATTCAAATCATGATGAAACATATTGAGAGGAGTCATAAACATCCACACAAACATACAACATAAATAACAAGTACATATCTGTTTGAAGAAACCCCCCAGTTAACGGGGAGAAGCCCCCTAGTTAACGGGGAGAAGCCCCCTAGTTAACGGGGAGAAGCCCCCCAGTTAACGGGGAGATGCCCCCTAGTTAACGGGGAGAAATCCCCCAGTTAACGGGGAGAAACCCCCCAGTTAACGGGGAGAAGCCCCCTAGTTAACGGGGAGAAACCCCCCAGTTAACGGGAGATGCCCCCCAGTTAACGGGGAGAATCCCCCCAGTTAACGGGGAGCAACCCCCCAGTTAATAGGGAGAAACCCCCCAGTTAACGGGGAGATGCCCCCTAGTTAACGGGGAGAAGCCCCCCAGTTAACGGGGAGAAACCCCCCAGTTAATAGGGAGAACCCCCCCCAGTTAATAGGGAGAAACCCCCCAGTTAACAGGGAGATGCCCCCTAGTTAACGGGAGAAGCCCCCCAGTTAACGGGGAGAAGCCCGCCAGTTAATAGGGAGAAACCCCCCAGTTAACGGGGAGCAACCCCCCAGTTAACGGGGAGATGCCCCCTAGTTAACGGGGAGAAGCCCCCCAGTTAACGGGGAGAAAACCCCCCAGTTAATAGGGAGAACCCCCCCCAGTTAATAGGGATAAACCCCCCAGTTAACAGGGAGATGCCCCCTAGTTAACGGGGAGAAGCCCCCCAGTTAACGGGGAGAAGCCCGCCAGTTAATAGGGAGAAACCCCCCAGTTAACGGGGAGCAACCCCCCAGTTAACGGGGAGATGCCCCCTAGTTAACGGGGAGAAGCCCCCCAGTTAACGGGGAGCAACCCCCCAGTTAACGGGGAGCAACCCCCTAGTTAATAGGGAGAAGCCCCCTAGTTAACGGGGAGAAACCCCCTAGTTAACGGGGAGAAGCCCCCTAGTTAACGGGGAGAAGCCCCCTAGTCAACGGGGAGAAACCCCCCAGTTAACGGGAAGAAGCCCCTTAGTCAACGGGGAGAAGCCCCCTAGTTAATAGGGAGAAACCCCCAGTTAACGGGGAGAAGCCCCCTAGTCAACGGGGAGAAACCCCCCAGTTAACGGGAAGAAGCCCCTTAGTCAACGGGGAGAAGCCCCCTAGTTAATAGGGAGAAACCCCCAGTTAACGGGGAGAAGCCCCCTAGTCAACGGGGAGAAACCCCCCAGTTAACGGGAAGAAGCCCCTTAGTCAACGGGGAGAAGCCCCCTAGTTAATAGGGAGAAACCCCCCAGTTAACGGGGAGAAGCCCCCTAGTTAATAGGGAGAAACCCCCCAGTTAACGGGGAGAAGCCCCCTAGTTAATAGGGAGAAACCCCCCAGTTAACGGGGAGAAGCCCCCTAGTCAACGGGGAGAAACCCCCCAATTAACGGGGAGAAACCCCCTAGTTAATAGGGAGAAACCCCCCAGTTAACGGGGAGAAGCCCCCTAGTCAACGGGGAGAAGCCCCCCAGTTAACGGGGAGAAGCCCCCTAGTCAACGGGGAGAAGCCCCCTAGTTAAAAGGGAGAAACCCCCCAGTTAACGGGGAGAAGCCCCCTAGTTAATAGGGGAGAAACCCCCCAGTTAACGGGGAGAAGCCCCCTAGTCAACGGGGAGAAACCCCCCAATTAACGGGGAGAAACCCCCTAGTTAATAGGGAGAAACCCCCCAGTTAACGGGGAGAAGCCCCCTAGTCAACGGGGAGAAGCCCCCCAGTTAACGGGGAGAAGCCCCCTAGTCAACGGGGAGAAGCCCCCTAGTTAACGGGGAGAAAGCCCCCAGTTAACGGGGAGAAACCCCCTAGTTAACGGGGAGAAGCCCCTTAGTCAACGGGGAGAAGCCCCCTAGTTAATAGGGAGAAACCCCCCAGTTAACGGGGAGAAGCCCCCTAGTTAATAGGGAGAAACCCCCAGTTAACGGGGAGAAGCCCCCTAGTCAACGGGGAGAAGCCCCCCAGTTAACGGGGAGAAGCCCCCTAGTCAACGGGGAGAAGCCCCCTAGTCAACGGGGAGAAGCCCCCCAGTTAACGGGGAGATGCCCCCTAGTTAACGGGGAGAAATCCCCCAGTTAACGGGGAGAAATCCCCCAGTTAACGGGGAGAAGCCCCCCAGTTAACGGGGAGATGCCCCCTAGTTAACGGGGAGAATCCCCCAGTTAACGGGAGAAGCCCCCTAGTTAACGGGGAGAAACCCCCCAGTTAACGGGAGATGCCCCCCAGTTAACGGGAGAAGCCCCCCAGTTAACGGGGAGAAACCCCCCAGTTAATAGGGAGAAACCCCCCCAGTTAACGGGGAGATGCCCCCTAGTTAACGGGGAGAAGCCCCCCAGTTAACGGGGAGAAACCCCCCAGTTAATAGGGAGAACCCCCCCCAGTTAATAGGGATAAACCCCCCAGTTAACAGGGAGATGCCCCCTAGTTAACGGGGAGAAGCCCGCCAGTTAATAGGGAGAAACCCCCCAGTTAACGGGGAGCAACCCCCCAGTTAACGGGGAGATGCCCCCCAGTTAACGGGGAGAAGCCCCCCAGTTAACGGGGAGCAACCCCCCAGTTAACGGGGAGATGCCCCCTAGTTAACGGGGAGAAGCCCCCCAGTTAACGGGGAGATGCCCCCTAGTTAATAGGGAGAACCCCCCCAGTTAATAGGGATAAACCCCCCAGTTAACAGGGAGATGCCCCCTAGTTAACGGGGAGAAGCCCCCCAGTTAACGGGGAGAAGCCCGCCAGTTAATAGGGAGAAACCCCCCAGTTAACGGGGAGCAACCCCCCAGTTAACGGGGAGATGCCCCCTAGTTAACGGGGAGAAGCCCCCCAGTTAACGGGGAGCAACCCCCCAGTTAACGGGGAGCAACCCCCCAGTTAATAGGGAGAAACCCCCCAGTTAACGGGGAGATGCCCCCTAGTTAATAGGGAGAAGCCCCCTAGTTAACGGGGAGAAACCCCCTAGTTAACGGGGAGAAGCCCCCTAGTTAACGGGGAGAAGCCCCTAGTCAACGGGGAGAAAACCCCCCAGTTAACGGGAAGAAGCCCCTTAGTCAACGGGAGAAGCCCCTAGTTAATAGGGAGAAACCCCCAGTTAACGGGGAGAAGCCCCCTAGTCAACGGGGAGAAACCCCCCAGTTAACGGGAAGAAGCCCCTTAGTCAACGGGGAGAAGCCCCCTAGTTAATAGGGAGAAACCCCCAGTTAACGGGGAGAAGCCCCCTAGTCAACGGGGAGAAACCCCCCAGTTAACGGGGAGAAGCCCTAGTCAACGGGGAGAAGCCCCCTAGTAATAGGGAGAAACCCCCCAGTTAACGGGGAGAAGCCCCCTAGTCAACGGGGGAGAAACCCCCCAATTAACGGGGAGAAAACCCCCCTAGTTTAATAGGGAGAAACCCCCAGTTAACGGGGAGAAGCCCCCTAGTCAACGGGGAGAAGCCCCCCAGTTAACGGGGAGAAGCCCCCTAGTCAACGGGGAGAAGCCCCCTAGTTAACGGGGAGAAAGCCCCCAGTTAATGGGGAGATGCCCCCTAGTTAATAGGGGAGAAGCCCCCTAGTTAACGGGGAGAAACCCCCTAGTTAACGGGGAGAAGCCCCTTAGTCAACGGGGAGAAGCCCCCTAGTTAATAGGGAGAAACCCCCCAGTTAACGGGGAGAAGCCCCCTAGTTAATAGGGAGAAACCCCCAGTTAACGGGGAGAAGCCCCCTAGTCAACGGGGAGAAGCCCCCCAGTTAACGGGGAGAAGCCCCCTAGTCAACGGGGAGAAGCCCCCTAGTCAACGGGGAGAAGCCCCCCAGTTAACGGGGAGAAATCCCCCAGTTAACGGGGAGAAGCCCCCCAGTTAACGGGGAGATGCCCCCTAGTTAACGGGGAGAAATCCCCCAGTTAACGGGGAGAAGCCCCCTAGTTAACGGGGAGAAACCCCCCAGTTAACGGGGAGATGCCCCCCAGTTAACGGGGAGAAGCCCCCCAGTTAACGGGGAGAAACCCCCCAGTTAATAGGGAGAAACCCCCCAGTTAACGGGGAGATGCCCCCTAGTTAACGGGGAGAAGCCCCCCAGTTAACGGGGAGAAACCCCCCAGTTAATAGGGAGAACCCCCCCCAGTTAATAGGGAGAAACCCCCCAGTTAACAGGGAGATGCCCCCTAGTTAACGGGGAGAAGCCCGCCAGTTAATAGGGAGAAACCCCCCAGTTAACGGGGAGCAACCCCCCAGTTAACGGGGAGATGCCCCCCAGTTAACGGGGAGAAGCCCCCCAGTTAACGGGGAGAAACCCCCCAGTTAACGGGGAGCAACCCCCCCAGTTAATAGGGAGAAACCCCCCAGTTAACGGGGAGATGCCCCCTAGTTAACGGGGAGAAGCCCCCCAGTTAACGGGGAGAAACCCCCCAGTTAATAGGGAGAACCCCCCCAGTTAATAGGGAGAAACCCCCCAGTTAACAGGGAGATGCCCCCTAGTTAACGGGGAGAAGCCCCCCAGTTAACGGGGAGAAGCCGCCAGTTAATAGGAGAAACCCCCCAGTTAACGGGGGAAGCCCCCCCAGTTAACGGGGAGAAGCCCCCTAGTCAACGGGGAGAAGCCCCCTAGTCAACGGGAGAAGCCCCCAGTTAACGGGGAGAAAACCCCCCAGTTTAACGGGGAGATGCCCCCTAGTTAATAGGAGAAACCCCTAGTTAACGGGGAGAAGCCCCTAGTCAACGGGGAAACCCCCAGTTATAGGGAGAAACCCCCCAGTTAACGGGGAGAAGCCCCCTAGTTAATAGGGAGAAACCCCCAGTTAACGGGGAGAAGCCCCCTAGTTAATAGGGAGAAACCCCCAGTTAACGGGGAGAAGCCCCCTAGTCAACGGGGAGAAGCCCCCCAGTTAACGGGGAGAAGCCCCCTAGTCAACGGGGAGAAGCCCCCCTATCAACGGGGAGAAGCCCCCCAGTAACGGGGAGAAATCCCCCCAGTAACGGGAGAAGCCCCCCAGTTAACGGGGATGCCCCCTAGTAACGGGGAGAAATCCCCCAGTTAACGGGGAGAAGCCCCCTAGTTAACCGGGAGAAACCCCCGTTAACGGGGAGATGCCCCCCAGTTAACGGGAGAAGCCCCCCAGTTAACGGGGAGAAACCCCCAGTTAATAGGGAGAACCCCCCAGTTAACGGGGAGATGCCCCCTAGTTAACGGGAGAAGCCCCCCCAGTTAACGGGGAGAAACCCCCCAGTTAATAGGGAGAACCCCCCCCAGTTAATAGGGAGAACACCCCCAGTTACGGAGATGCCCCCGTTAACGGGGAGAAGCCCGCCAGTTTAGGGGAGAAACCCCCAGTTAACGGGGAGCAACCCCCCAGTTCGGGGAGATGCCCCCCAGTTAACGGGGAGAAGCCCCCCAGTTAACGGGGAGAAACCCCCCAGTTAACGGGGAGCAACCCCCCCCATTAATAGGGAGAAACCCCCCATTAACGGGGAGATGCCCCCTAGTTTAACGGGGAGACCCCCAGTTAACGGGGAGAAACCCCCCAGTTAATAGGGAGAACCCCCCAGTTAATAGGAGAAACCCCCAGTTAACAGGGAGATGCCCCCTAGTTAACGGGAGAAGCCCCCCAGTTAACGGGGAGAAGCCCGCCAGTTAATAGGGAGAAACCCCCCAGTTAACGGGGAGAAGCCCCCCAGTTTAACGGGGAGAAGCCCCCTAGTCAACGGGGTAAGCCCCCTAGCAGTCAACGAGAAGCCCCCCGTTAAGGGGAGAACCCCCCAGTTAACGGGAGATGCCCCCTAGTTAATAGGGAGAACCCCCTAGTTAACGGGGAGAAGCCCCTTAGTCACGGGGAAAGCCCCCTAGTTAATAGGGAGAAACCCCCCAGTTACGGGGAGAAGCCCCTAGTTAATAGGAGAAACCCCAGTTAACGGGGAGAAGCCCCCTAGTCAACGGGGAAAACCCCCAGTTAACGGGGAGAAGCCCCTTAGTCAACGGGGAGAAGCCCCCTATTTAATAGGGAGAAAACCCCCCAGTAACGGGGAGCAAGCCCCTAGTTAATAGGGAGAAAGAAACCCCAGTTTAAACGGGAGAAGCCCCCTAGTCAACGGGGAGAAACCCCCCAGTTAACGGGGAGAAGAGCCCCTTAGTCAAAGGGGAGAAGCCCCCTAGTTATAGGGAGAAACCCCAGTTAACGGGGAGAAGCCCCTAGTCAAAGGGGAGATGAGAAGCCCCCCAGTTAACGGGGAGAAGCCCCCTAGTCAACGGGGAGAAGCCCCCTAGTCAACGGGGAGAAGCCCCCCAGTTAACGGGGAGAAACCCCCCAGTTAACGGGGAGAA